GTTCTTGCTCTTTTCAATTTGAAAAGGCTTAAAGTGGAGTTGCCTTTCCTAGTTTCTAAAGAAAACTCTGATGCTTTACTTAAAGATTTGATAGCTACGTGTGCTAAGTGCAGTGAAGGTATGAAAATTCAGCCCATAAAACTTCAAGTACAGGGTGATCTAGTCTTTCTTAAAAGATGAATAATTCCTTATGGTCTTCGAGAAGCAGTACATAAGACTTTAAACGATTCGTGTGCGAAAGGCATAATTGAACCGATTCAGTCTTCAGCATCGGATACTCCTATTGTTACGCCACTGAAGTCGGACGGCAAGACCCCTAGAATATGTGGTGACTATAGATTAACATTGAACTCCCGTTTGTTGAAGCAAACGTGCACGACGGTAGAGGCTGAAGATATTCTAAATCGACTTCATGGTTCTAAAGTGTTCTCGAAAGTTGACCTAAAAGATGCTTATCTTCAAATCCCTTTAGATCAATCTTCATCTATTTTGACGACAATTAACACTCCTTTTGGTCTGTTCAAATACAATTTCCTTCCATTTGGTCTAAGTTGTTCTCCAGCCATATTTCAGGAAGTTATGAATAAAGTAGTTAGTGATCTTGAAAGTGTTGAAGTTTATCAAGATGATCTCATTGTTCATGGTTCTGATAAGGTAGTTCATGACGAGAGACGTATTGCTTTATTACGTCGTTTAATTGAGAAGAATATTACAGTGAATCCAAATAAGTGTTCATTTTGTGTATCTAGTTTTGAATGTCTTGGATACCCAGTTGATGGTAATGGTTTTAGACCAGATATGAAACGACTAGCTCCACTGACAAATGCACCGTTTCCAAAAAATCTTACGGAACTACGTTCACTAGTGGGTACTCTTCAATACTATTCGCGTTTTATTCCTAATTTTTCTTGTCGTGCAAATTGTTCATTTAATATTTTGACATCCGATTCAATAAATGAAGTTAGTGCACCGTTTACCAGTAAGATGGTTAACATCATTAAAGGAACTCATCGATACTTTAGATATATACTCAGTGCTAATCTGAAACTCAGATTTCCTGTCTGTTTTTCAAAGCAGGATGAGTTATCCATTACTCCTGATGGTATTTGCTGTTTAAATGATCGGAGCATTGTGTTCTTCGGCCTTCCTCTATTCCGTTCCCCTTCACGATTCTTCGTGATGTAGTTCGATGATTTCCTTAATGTATGTCACATGCGCTTCCAGAATGTCTTCCCGATTTCCTCTCCAGTCGGAAGCTGGTTTGTCCTCTCCCACAGTAAGCTGTTGCCGATGGCATCCGACCAACAGACGTTGAATATTTTACGTGGACGATTGTTTATAAATACTTGTACCTTTTTGATGATGGTTGTAGTGATTCACCAAGTTTCAGCTCCATACAATAGAACCGTCTTGAAGATTCTGATTTCGACGTTGGTTGACATATTTTTTACTTCCACGTGTTCCTCAACAGTGTGGATGCTCCCCTTGCTTCGCTAATATTCGTATTTACAACTTTATCGTATCACCGTTGTTCGTCGGTGACTCTACCAATATGCATGAAAGTTTCCACATTTTCCATGATTTCTGCATCAAATGTGATTGGATTGGTGCTCTTTGTGAAGCATTTCAGCACTTGTTCCTCCTCTCAAATCTTCCTGAATAAAACGTGGGGCATGCTTGCAGTTACTTCTGTCTGACTTCAGCGCTTCATCTGGTATACCGTCAGGTTCTGCTACATTCCCATTCTTGAGTTGTTTGATTGCCATACTGATTTCCTCAACCATTGATAGAGTGACAGCCGTGTGTGCTGCTTTCCTCACGTCGAGTTTTTTCACAAGACAAAGACATTTAATTCATGAATGATCGTAGTATGGAAAGGTATCTCTACGATTTGTACAGTGCCAGAGTAGCTTAAGAATACCTAAGCTCGGTTTTAGCAGTGTTTCACTGGCCATGTACCTCCACGATCTCCATACAACGCTGGGATACAACTCCTCTCTTAGTATTACTGTCTATGTTCAAATATGGGCGTCCTGGGTCTTCTTCATAATCCTTAACAATTTTCTCCTTATACTCCCTGTTAAACTTACGCAGGGCTAAAGCAAAAATATTTTTGGTTTACCGATGTTAAAACTTATCTCACTAGCGTACAACAACATCTAGCTGATGTGCCGTTTTTAACAATGGTACTGAGATCCCAAACTTGAAGCGCAGGGTTACTTTTACTTAGGGGTGGCACGAAACCAAGGATCTCTTAAACTTCTTTCTCATGGTGGGTGACTATGACATCTAATATTGGTGACTTGGAGTCAAGTTGTATCACGTTGCCTTTTGCTGCTATTTTAGGATAGCGAATGCAATAATTATATCGATTAGATTCTATTTGGAAAATGTTTTCTATAACTCTGTCCTTAAATTTTTATGTTTAACTACAGAAACGTCTCGTCTCCACAAAACTTCACACCGACTGCTAGAAAACCAGCATTTGAGTTTGTCCCGCAAGATATCATTTACATCTCAGTTTAGACTAGAGTAAACTTGACGAACCAGTGCCCCGTTTTTTCGCTTGAACTTCTAGCCCGTTTTCATGATATATATTGACGATAACAGTAAAGGATGTAATTTTCTTATAAATAAATCCACTCCTACCTGTTTACGCTTCTGGATTATGTCAGGGCTTGCCAATTTACAGTTTTCAAAATGATGTCCTCTATCGTATTCTGACTGGATCAATCACATTTTTGTTATTGCATTCAACACGGTTGGGTTGGTTTGTAAATCCAGTTCCAATCGCTTGTTAAACACGTTCTCTGCATTTGTATGACGGATACAAAGATCATTAAGATGATTTGTGCTGCAACCCAAACGGCTCAGGGACTATTCACATCCAGAACGGACTAGTGATATTAGCACATATAGGTGGTTCAGACAGACAAGAGACCAATGCACAGAGACGATGAGGAAAGACAAGCTTCAGTATCAGATAACGCAAATCGACAAATTTGTTCCCATTCTGAAAATCTTATTTGTCATACGGCCTCTTTTCACTAAACCAAACCCGGGGTTTCCCAATTGCAAGGTCCCAATGGCTCAACCAGTGACGATGGTGATATCTCTGACCATCTGACAGAACGGTATTTTCAAACATTTCAACCGTCTTGTACCCTCTCTATCGACGAGAAATTCACTTGCAACCCAACAGAACTCTCAGAAGTGGACCTGAGTGCTGAATTGGTGTATCAGAACCTGAATCACATAAACAAGGACACTTTTCCTGGCCCAAGCATGGTTTGTTCTACTGTACTATGGGAAGCGTCTAAAATCTCGGCAGAACCGCTTAGTGCGACGTCATGTCATGCTGAGACGTGATACTGGAAAAATGGGTGACAGTTTAGCTGACGCACAGAACATTCAAGCTAGTGTTATATAGAACCTTTGGAACGTATCTAAAGATGAGCCACGAAATAAGTCCGGGGATCAAATTCAAGCTCTATGTAGAGGGTCTCAAATTATCCATTAGAGTATAGGCATCTTTAAGGTGACCTTCTAGTGACTTAGAGAAGGTTGAACACTTATGGACATCCCCTTAAATACCTACTTCATCTCAGGCCCAATCAAACTTTGGGGTAACAACCTGAAACCGGAATAGAATGTGGGCACATTTTATACTCCTTAAGAATAGTCAAATGCCGGAATTCGCTACCGGTTGAGACAGTTCGAATGACTTCCACGGAGTCCTTCAAAGGAAAACCTGACATATTCTTAAGGACTAAGGACAGTATCTTGCCATAATCTATCAATGTTTTTCCCTTTTCATCACTAAATATACCTAGGTTCTTACCCGGCAGCATCGGTGATTCACTGTCAGCAGATATAGAAGCCCACTAAGTGAGAGCTCCTTCTATTCCGTTCAAAGTCAGTTGAACCATTTTGAACCTGGCTTGTAAGTTTTGAAGAAAGTGTAGCTTATAATATTATAGTGTGGCGTCGAGTCGCGGCTGAATATGATCACCACTACAAGAAGGTTGCGCACAAGATATCAGAAGGCGATTGGAGGTTGTAGCGAGATATATTTATTGGCGATCTCGTGGTATCGAAAGAATATCGAGATCGTGCCAAAAGAGTACAAGCGGAATTACTGAGCAGACGTAAGCGCGTGCAAGGTCACGATCAACGGAAGGAAGAATGTCTTTAATACAGTCAAACAAACAAGTACGGTAAAACAATCCGTGGTACAATTGGTTATAATAATAATTGTTTCCATTAAGCCAGTCGCGTTCTCTTGATAAAAGTAGATCTCTACAATATCTTCAGGCATCAGCTTGTTGAGTGCAGATTTACTGAAGACAACCCCTGATTCTCTTTCGTTTCGATAAAGACAGGTTTATGGTTTGGTGATTTAAGCTGAAAGTTAATAAACCAAGATTTTGAATGCTTACATTGTACTGAAGGACATACGCGCTTCCAAAAAATTTAACATTGTCAAGGTCATCCCTCAGCTGGTACGTCCTACAAAAGGGGGTATTATTATCCACTTTTCTAGGGCGATTTATCCTGGTTTTCACTGAAACGTTGTCTGTTTGATTAAAACTATCTAAAAAATTAAAGTTTCAACAATATTTTAAGGTACAGAGTTTTTGTGTAATTTCGATTTATAGCATCCTTAACACTTCTGGACATCCTCTTAAACACCTACTTAAGCTTAGTTCTAACATTAACCTAAGAGGTAACACCCAGAAACTGGAGACAAAACATAGCGAAACGGAATATAGACATAAGTTCTACTCCTTAAGAGCTGTCAAAAGCTGGAATTCGCTGCCGGCCGAGCTAGTCCAAGCGACTTCTCAGGAGTCCTTCAAGAGGCAACTTGACCTATTCTTAAGGACCAAGGACAGCATCACACTATGATTTACCAATTTCTTTTCCTCTTTTAGTGTTAACATACCTAGGTTCCTGCCTGGAGGATTTGGTGATCCCCTTCTACTAGACACGGAAGCCTGTTAAGCGAAAGCTTCTTCTATTCTGTCCACAACCATTTGAACCATTTGACACAGGATTGAGCTGTACTGTTCGGGTTGCGGTGTCGAAATCTGGGTAGTTTCTGGTTCTGCTGAAAACCACTGGTAAATTACGCCGGGCCTAAAAGGATATATTTGTACCATCGTGAGTTTGTGAGGGCGCTTTTGGAATATGGGGTTCAATCTGCTAGTCCTTGTTTCAAGTATGCATATTTCATGCTTCAGGAAGCAGATACACCAGGACGAGTTCAGTGGCGAGTGACCGAAACGATGAAAGAACTCTTCGGCCTATTATATTAAGACAAACTGAAGCGCTCCAACCCACTTACATTGTTTTACCCCAGGTTACGGAGGTGATTCTAATCAGCTCGTATTAATTATTACTGACTTACCGTTTACTGGACGTTTATCTTGCAATTAATATGTCTTGTCTTTTCCTTCCATTTAGGAATGATTATATGAGGAGAGACTCCATGAAATTTCAAAAACTGAGATCAAATATCTACGCCTGGAACTCCGTTTCTCACATCGAGCAGTGATTCGTACAATCCTCTCACAGGACACGTAATACCAACACCTTTTGATCCATTCAAAGCACGACCGGATCTCCACAGCACTACAAGCTACAAGAAATAATATAGGTCGGCTGACCTATTCTTACTACTGAAGACTAGTTATCACGTAAACCACTTCCACAAGACTCAGACTGCTAGTCCTTGGTAAGGCCTGTTCATCGGTATAACTTCTGTTTGTTACAAAGTCGGTACTCCGCAGTTTCTTACGTGTATACACACATTGCTGCTATGCAAATATAGTCGTAATGTCTACCTTTTTAGCCTGGAAATCGTCATTTAAGCTGTCGAAAGCGGAATTACTACATTACTTAAATTAATGTGTTGATAGGCAGTGCTAATACATCTAACTTTTGAAGGATTATTCCAGTCATCTACAACAAGATGTCAGGAACAGACTTTCAAGAGCAAGCAATCAAATATTGGTTTCCGAAATTTCGTAAGATTGTCCGGTCAGGAATTTAAACGTCAAGAGAATCTCCTTTGAAACGTATCTTCCAAAAGCCCCTTGTTTTGCTCGGCTCAACCTGTACAGCTCGAAACATTCCCCCTCACTTAGGAAGTTTCGGGAAAAATTCACACTATTCAGGGATGCGTAAAAAGGAGACAATTGGATGCATTGTCACCTATATTCACACTGACTTTAAGGATTTTCTCTAGGATTTCCTCAAAGTTCGCCTTTGTTCTCCTTTTTTGTTTTCTTGAGGTGTTTAAAATTTTGGTTTTTATGATTTAAGACTATAAGACAGTTGGTACATATAGTTTTTTACTCTAGGTGGGATTATTCATAATCGATTATCAATACAAATGACCGCTGTATCTCATTTGAAGCTATATATATATATATATATAGTGTTAGATTTTACATACCATATTAAAAGATCCCACACAATCTCCTAATCTGTAAAAGCATCCATAGATTTTAACAACTTAGTTACTACTTTCTAGCTTGTCCACTCTTCGGGAATAAGTAGTGCAAGATTCGTATGTGAAGATTTTGTCCTATCAACCCATTAACGAAATCCCATCAAACAGTTTTCTTGTTAATACACCTCATCTATTTATCAAATAGCTGTGTATCTGGACTTTTTTATGTTCTTTGTGTTCACATTATCAAATAAAATTATCTCAAGATACCAAATAGAGTTGATTTATTTGTACTAAAACACCAAATTACTTTCAATAGAAACAACGATTTTAGGCAAACCTCTTGCTCACCATCTAAAAGCTCGTAGGTTTCTTAGTTTGAGCACACTGCATTGGGGATGTTTGGATAATTTTATCATGTAAATTTACAAACTATAGTTTTTACGCCATCCTCTCCAGTTTTGCCTCACGTGACCTAGTATAGCGCCGTTGACGTGCAATTCAAAATACCTGACTTAAGAATCCGTGCATCGTAGTTAGAAATAAGTAATTATTACGTTTGTTTAGCACGTTTTTGATCGCTGTTATCATAGTTGGTTTCAACAATACTACTAGTACGTATTCCCATGTACTAATATCTCCAAAAATGATTTTGCAGGAGAGATTACTGTCTACGAGAAGTCATCTTATTTAAGTGAAAAACCTGGGCGATATTGTGATTTCAAAAGATCATAGATGTTCTGTCCATGCATTTAACACACAATTTCATTACTTGTCATTTTTCGCGTTACTTCATGTTTATAGTCAACTGAAGAGATAATACTTGAAACGTTTCCCGCGAGTAAATTTTCTGTAAAATTATTTATATCGAAGCATATAATAGTTATGTTCTTCTACCTAGTCTATTGTTCTCACTCATTTAAAGTTATGTCGCTAATGTATCGTAATGGAAGTGACTGCAACTAATAATTCATTCATGACCAGTAAACACTTTACTTTTATGATGAAACTCGGGCCGTTATAGCTATAATTTCCCTAAAATAATATTTGTAATTTTATTTCCCGTAATATTTTGCGAATTCCAAATGCTATGGTTTGTTTTTATGAATTTTTTAATCTGTTCGTTACTTTGTACCTTACATGTTAATCTCATGTATGTCTTTGCTCATGAGATTCATTTTCTATTTAATGATAGCTAAACATCACCTCAAAATAACGTACTTTAAAGAATGCCAGGCGGTTATATTCCCGGTCTTCCACCTATCTACCCTAATAGTTGGATCTCTTCAGGAATATCTAACATGTCTCGCCTAGAACCTGCTGACTCAAACTGCACCTATGGAATTCACTGGATATGGGTTTCAATGGGACTGTGTGTTATGGATATTCAAGGTGGCATAGCCTTATTTTGTGGAGTTCTATGTTTATTTCTTTGGATTGCAGTAGGTATACCTCAAATTGTTGAGAATTTTCGAACAGGAATTGCAGACAAAGCTCTTTCTCCTAGTTTTCTTTGCTTTTGGACTTTCGGTGATGTCTGTAACCTGATAGGTTGTTTTTTAACACATCAACTGATTATGCAGGTCCGTTCAGCTAGTTTTATGATATTTAAAATCCAATGTAGTCTACGTATACTATGCAAATGTAAACTGTATAAATCTTTTTCTCATAAATGTACTTTTTTGGTCTAGAATCTACTGATTTTATAAATTTAAGTACTGGTTTACAGTTTGTTAAATATTCTGATTCTTAACGACTACTTTTGTTACATGCATACGAGGGTTTTCATTTTGTTAATAAATAGTAGATCGATGTTCAGTGAACCTTGCTTCATATCCCAGAGTCATACTCCTAAACTCTTCTCTGCCTTGTACATGAACTTTCATGTGCTTAAAGCATTGCGTCAATATTTACCACAGCCTGATGGCTGATAAGTTTATATATTCATTGAACAGTGCGTAATATTGATAAGTTTTAGCACAAAATAAAGCAATTAACTAGTGCTACCTAGTTTTTAGAACTTTGATGTTTAATCGCTTATCCTCTGTCTTTTGAATTACTGTTGTACCTTCAGTCAGTCAGTAACAACGTAGAACTTCGTACGTACGTACATCAGTTCGAGTTGCCACACCATATTAGCACAGAGATGCAGTGGTTGATTCAAATCCCGTAGTGCTAGATGTGGTAAAATTATAAGCTATAATCAGAAAAATTAGGGTTTGAAGATGTTATTCAAGGAGTATAATCCAGTGAAATAAATTTGGAAATAATACCATTGAGGAAGTCTGGTAGTATCGTTGGCCCTCGGGTTACAATGTAGCTTACACGTCAGTTTATGGGCCTGGGGTTCTTTTTAACCACCAATGATATGTCATAATTATGCGACTGTAAACCTTAAGAAAGGTAATCACCAATTTTATACTAAATATCATGGCAAAAAGTTGTTATTTCACTGTTCACTTGATTTCCGCATTAGTTTTAGCTTTGTCTTATGGTGGGAATTCCGTTACCTTTGGCCATTTTGCTTAGAATTCAGTGTAAAAGGTATCTGAATGGTTATTGAGTAGAAGTATCCATCCCAGGGGTAAACTGGATTGTTTTGAGTAGCTTAATAAATGAGATTTTATGAATCTCCTTCTTGTGTGGTTCTGGTGTATTTCACTAATGAAATAAGTATTTTGCATCAATTTTTGGTGTTTTTGTCCTATTCTAGAGATTTCGATGAGTAGAGTATATCCGATATCAATCTTTTGATCTAAAGCGTTCAAGCTATGGAGAAAAATAATTCGTCAACGTCACATCTTAAACTCTACAGATTTCTTAGTTCTTACGCGAAAAAAACAGTGTTTTATCGTCTAACAAATTGCGATTGTGTTTTTAATATTGTTTTAAAATTGTGCGAAATGTATCAGTAGGTAGTTGTGTAACTGTTTATAGGGTGATATTTAGTCCCGCTGTATCTGACTTGAACTTCACTAACTAATAAAAGATATTAGTGCTTAATGAATGACCAACATACCGTTCTCCTATCGGGCTCTGAAAAGTTTGTTCTATTTTCGACTTATATTCCTTTTTGCTTTAATTTTAATGTACAATTTAAGGATTGCAAATTGCTTACACTTTACAGATTGTTGTGACAGGGTACTGTATTGTTAGTGACTTCGTCCTTGTGTTCCAATTCATCTATTACAAACATCGTCATAAGGCTATCTTACGTCGTAAGTTCAGTGTGACTGGGTTATTGGAAGTTTTCTTTTATCTGTGAATGATTCACATAAACTTTTGATTTGTCAATTTGTATGATGAAATGTACACAAACATATGTTTTCTTTATTCACATTATATTTGCGTTTATTACTTGATTGTTTAGAAGGATTCTTACGGCGATAAATACCATACTCATCCTTTATTGTATCTTAACAGGTCGTCAGCAGCTATTCACATGTAGATAAGGGAGAATACAATATCACTTTGGGCGGTATAGTATGTGAAGATGGAGACTGGCGAGAGGGGATTTAACAGCAACCCAGTGTAGGCATGAAGATGGAAAATGGTATATTTGTTTGACTCTGTACCTCCAGCTGGTATAGTCCGTTAAAAATAATAAATTCAACAAGATATGCTATTTATTCTCTGAATTTATCTGTAGCGACTAAGCTAGTAAAAACAATCATTAATTAGTCACTGTTTCGAATCTCATTGTGATCTTAACTTATTTGAATATCAATCTTAACTGTCTAAGTAGTATCAAGATAGTAATTGTTAAACCATAGTAACACCTTTTTATGCTTAATTGATCAATATGTTTTGTTTGAACGTGTATAAGGTTGACAGGAATTATTTTATGGTTAAATATATATGTTAAATTTGCTTCCTGTTTATCGTAAAGATATGTTTTTCATTAGGAAGAAATTCGTCTAATTATGTTTTATCTGATGTGTCATGCAGAAATAAGATTCGCTATTCTTTTTATTATACTCTAATGAAACTAAGCTTTTCAACTAATAATTATATTTGGGAAAAATACCAGTCATTACCACTGAGGAATGGCAGGATTATTTTGTACGAAATCATATATTGGTATGGTTACAGGTTTACAAAGGCTTACTGTTTTACAAAAATTCAACCTAGGTCTGTGATTATTTCAATATGCCAAAAATTGATTTTTAAGCCTTTAATTCGTCGAGAAAATAGTTTAATTAGATAGTTTAGTACTGGCTACAACTCAATGTTAACGTATTTATTTTAGTCCTAATGAGTGGTTGTCTCAGCTTGAGACAAGATTGTTGAATTTGGTGTCAGCTCAGATCGTTGTGATGTCGTGAGTTCTGTTTTATTTATATAACATGCTTCAGCGACTGACCTCAGCATGCACTACACTTAACTGTCGATTACCACCAACCGTCTACAATTAGTTACTGCTAACAGTTTTAATTGTTCTTATTAACTATTCGAAAGGCTTTTATCTGGAAAATCTTGTCGTATTGAGATGATTTCATGCAATTATGCAAAATTTTTAGTACGCGATCAAAACTGGTGTTCATCAAAGTAAAATTAAAAGTTTAAACAATATGTATATGAGTCATGTAACTTTTTAGTCTGTCTGAGTTTTCGATGAAGGCATGATTTTTATGAGTACTCACCAAGGTTAGACAATAACATAAGGTGAGATTAGTTTATGGACGACCTTTGGGCGACGCTAAAGTGACCTTAAGAATACCTACCTACTAATTAGAATCACATGTGGGCTATAATACGGTGTGGGAAATTAGAATTATGATTTACAATTGATGGTTAGGGTTATGAACTAGATTTAGGATTTTCGCCACGAACTGACATAAGCTAAAATGCCAAAAGGCTATTTAGCCAAATGGATGAATAAATTTCGTGCCAAAATTCAACACCTGTTGTCTTATATCTGATTGGTTCATCCATAAATTATAATTTCTTCACTCTTATTAAACATGAATATCCGTAAAGTTTCTCAAAGCTGTATCGATAGCATAAACAGTTATAAAACATAGTGGTCAAACTAATGGTTAGTTTTACTGAGAATTGTATATTTAGGCATCTAAATTAACTTTTGTAAATGAATACTCTTTTTCTTATTCCCATGAACAGTCGCTTAAAATCTCAAACTAAATTAATATTAATTGTTGAATAAATCTAGTTTTCCTGCATAGAAATGCGCGTTGAACAGTCCACACTTTTGATACTAATTAACAAAGCAGAAGAAAATAACAGGGAAACAAAAAAACAAAGATGACAGTTCTCACACTTTGATCGTTTCCAAGCCCATGAATTGTCTCTATGGCTATTCTCTTATCCATCCGCATTGCAATTTTTTCTCCATTGCCATATAAACTTCATGATGTTGCACTACATTTTATCTAGTTAGTGTTCAACAGTTACTGCATATATACACCAATCCTCCATAAAATTACTTTTTTGTTTCAGAAATGGCTACAGCTTTAAAAGATGGTGAAGTATCTTCGAACTCAAGCTCTTCTTCTCCCATTATTTGTGACGAATCGGAACAACATAATTCACATCAAGGATATCAAAGACTTTCAGTTGGTTTAGTTGGTGCAGGATGTTTAACTTTGATGGGCATTTCTTTAACTTCCATCGAGAATCCGTTTAATACTTATGTTATTAAACAATCAGTATCCAGTGGTTTACACTATCAATCAAGACAGTTATTGGAGTGGAAACAATATGAATCAACAGATCATCCATTCATAAATTCAGATCCTTTAAATGTAAGTTTTTAACTTGAGCATTATGGTTTTCCGGTCATATATAATAACATTACCCAATCTTTTAGATAGCTTTTTCAAAACAGGAGATTAGTTTGTTGGGAGGAAATGGATTATCATCTTTAAGATGGTGAACAGCACATATACTTTGTTCTTAATGATCATTGAGCTTTCTCATGTTTTTAGTTTGCGTTTTTCATATTCTAAGAAAGGTATTTGTTGGCGATCATTTAGCTACGAAGTTCAACAAATAAATTACTTGTGCTTGACAAAAGATCTCACGTGACCTAGTTTTTTTTCTTACTTGTTCACCTCACCGATAATGTAAGCAGAATGGTACGAGGTGGGTAGAAGCAGCTAAAGTGGCTTCGTATCGATCCAAAATCACTTAGACTAGTCTGTAGATTGCAACCTGATCGATAAAATTCGATCATCACGTTGGGCTGGGTAAACATGAATTTGCTTACTTTCCTGTGGCTAATCAATGCAGAATGATGCCAATGTTTATTTGTGTGTAATGCATTCATAAGAAATGTGAGATAAAATAATGTTTCAGCACGGGTTTAGATTTGCACGTAAATGTACGATAAAAGCAGTTACTTTTGCTCCTATAGTCTGGTGACTATAACCTTTCGACAAGAATACAGAAATGCTAGTCAGGGTTTCTCAACTATAGTGATAGTTTTCATCACAAATAGTGAAATCAACTGGGAACTACTTAAAACCATAGAACATCAGACAGCTGTTTGGTCCCAGTTTGAAACTCCTCAACAGCATGTGTGTATAAAATCATTCAGAAGAAATCCCAAAGAACTTCAGTTCTTCTGACCAGTATACAGCTTTTAGACTACCTTGATCAAATGTGACTGTAACAAGATATCCAAATGTCTGTCGAAGGAGAAAAACCTCATAAAAGTGTGTCTTATTTTTTGCGACATATGTTCAAAAAATAAGTACTATATGCATTTAAATTGTCCACATTTATTTTGAGAACATAGTTTCCGTAAACATAAGAAGCTAAAAAGGTGACAGTTGTTAAAGTCCAGCTACAGATCTGTTCGGCAAACCAAGGTATAGTAATAGAATACAGTGATTGAAGCTAAGATTAGTTTGCCGCTCAATCATACTTCAGTAATTCGATAAGGATCTACTATTCCCTATAATCCCATCCTCGTTAAGATTTTGAGTGTTTGCTTTTGGAAATTTCTTCATCATAACGAACCCCCCTCTACATTGCTACTTAATTTATTTCGGTGGTTATCCGTTTCATATTAATCCGGTACCATCAAAATAAACTTTTAGAAAGGAAATAAAACCTTTGCTCATATAAGCGTTTGTTGTTAAATTTTGTACCTGTTACAGACGTTATTATTTTGCAATACTGATCTCGTTCCTAAGTTTATTGTCGCAAAACTCTATTGATGATTTAGAATTTTGTACTTGAGAATCGTACAAAAAAGTATTATTTTTTAGTACACTTACATAATGAATAATAATCTTAAAAGTTATATCATTCATCAAACCTGATTTCGGTTTTGATTTTTTTGTTTTATTCAAAATAGGGTGGTACAATTATATTGGGATATATTCTTGGGTGGATTTCCACATCCATGTACCTGTTCTCTCGATTGCCACAATTATTTCGCAATGTATGTTTAATTCGAGCTTTTTTAACAAATCTATGTAAAACTATGTTACGTGAATACAACCATTAGCTAATGATTAATGTATGTAGGTTGAAGGACCCAACTGTTATTCTGGAGGAATGACAATAAACGAAGTTGTACCTGGATAGTTTAAACATTCGACTTTCAATCACCGGGTCAAATTCGACATATTTTGCTTTAGGCACTCAGGTAATACTTTTAGTTCTAATTTAAGAAACTATTCCACAACCCAGTGCTCAAACACAGTGAACTATGTAACAGAACAAGTGACTTTGACTAGTATAAAGTTTGAATCAGTGACTTATAAACAATTTGGTGTCACGTTAATCAAGCCATATAACCTGAAAACTAACGAAGTACAATTCAGTTTGATTTTCTTATAATCCATCTTTTAAAGGGAACATTGAATATACTCCAATGCCATTTAATTAATTTCGATTATAATCCAATTACCCTCTCTCTCATCTTTAATCACCATAATTGAAAGTGATGAGAAATATACAAATATGTAAAGTTGTATTGTAAAATGATCCGAAGTACTAGATACGTTGCACTCAGTGAAAATTAAAAATTTTGTGGGTAAACTCCGCTGTTGTATACAAACCTGTGCTTCTTAACTGCCGTACATTATGCAAAATGGAATTCGATCTCTTCATTCTTCCTCTTGCTTATCTATACCTTCTGGTTTTCTGTCCCCTTCTTCCTAACCTCTTACTTAGTCTGAAGAGACTTTTTTTATATTACCTTTTCGAAGTATACCAACTTGGACAAGTGCACTTCTATTTATAAAGTTTTTACTTTATATTCCCTCCTTTCTCAGTAATCTCTCTTATAGATGTAAACGAATATAAACACTGAAACATTCTTTTGAATAATTTTCATGTTAGTATATTTCCTGTCTTATAACATCTTTCAGTATTAGTGAATATAAAGAACAATAGATTGACTGCATCTGGTACATTGTGTGTTTTTATATATGATTGAGTATTTAGTCTCAAACTGTTCGTTCGAAGTCATTTAATCAAACGTTTTAAATAGATTTATGTTAATCAGTCAATAACAATAATAATAAACAGATTGTAGAACATTTTGTTAATACAACTTTCTGAAAACTAATTTTTCTGTCCAAGTGGAAACGTAAATCAACTGAAGGACTGTCTATATTCATGTTTTCTATGGCTGTTACTGGGAATATTTCATATGGTATTCAAATTTTACTTACATCTACTGAAAAAAACTACTTAATTCGAGCTACACCGTGGCTTGTTGGAAGTTTCGGTGTAGTTTTGCTAGATATTTTTGTAAGTTCATATGTTTTAATTATTAACTATTATGCTTAATTCTTTAATACTTAATAACTATATTCTACGGCTTCAGACTTGATTGTGTTTGTTTTCATCCCGTGAAATTAAACTCCGAAAATTCCCTCAATTCTAGTAAAAAACCATGACCTGTAGAGCTCGACCATGTTAGAAGTGACGCAGTTACCAAAATTGATACTGGATGATTGTTTACATTAGCAAAATAATGTCTACTTTAAATGATTCTACTTGATTTATCATCGATAATACTCAGAAAGATTTAACAGAGACGACTGAGAAGCGTCTTTTAAAAAAATTGAGAGAACTCCTGAAGAAAAATCTAATTGATAATCATACATACAATCAACTCAAACCAAAGGGATCACAATTACCATACTTATACGACCTACCCAAAACTCACAAACCTGACATCCCGATAAGACCATTATTATCCATGACTAATATACCCTTCCATAAACTCGCCCGCTGGTTGCCAAGGTGACTAGAACCAATCCGAAAGAAACTAGCACCCTATAGTTTAAAATACAGTTTTGAATTTGCACAAAAGCTTGACAACCTAAATGCTTCTGATAAATTTATGGTCTCATTTGACGTCTCATCGCTCTTCACAAACATTCTCTTGGAAGAAACGGTAGAGATCATATGTGAATATCCTGAACTTCCACCTCTACCGATCCATGAATTTAAACAGCTCCTGTTTTCGTGTACTAAAAACGTACAATTTCAATTCAATAATGTCTTTTACCGCCGAATTGATGGAGTAGCCATGGGTAGCCCTTTAGGCCCAATTCTGGTCGACATATTTATGGGAAACCTGGAACAAAAAAAGCTTAAGCACGCAATCGATAGTACTACACTCCACTGTAGATATATTGATGACACATTTCTCGTCTGCAACAATCACAAACACGCCATTAGACTACTCGATGTGTTTAATAAAGCTCACAAGGATATAGAATTTACTATGGAACAGGAAGTTGAAGGCGAATCCCATTTCCTAGATATTAGGATCAGACGAACATCTGATGGCACATTACATAGACACATTCATCGCAAAAATACTCGGAGTGGAGTATATCTCAGTTGTTATAGTTTCTGTCCAATGAGTTACAAAAAGGGTATTGTACGAACCCTTTTTGACCGCGCACGTAAAATTTGTTCAAACGAATGCCTGGATGACAAGATTGCTCTCATCACTAATTGTCTACGTGAAAATGCATATCCGGTAAAATTCATCTATAAATATGCAAAAACCAATCCTCGGGCAAAGTATGATAGAGTAGAAAAGAAAACTTGCTTCTTATATTTACGTTTCAAAGGAGACGAAATTGCAGGATTAATTAATCACAGATTAAATTCCGAGTTGAAAGTGGCCTACCCAGCAGCAAAACTGACGACAGTATGGGAAACGAATTGCTCACTCAAACAAACGAAAATCGACAAGTCCTCTTTTCTCATTAGCTCCAACTGCATTTACCAATCCACATATACGTGCCAAAGCACATACATTCGAAGAACTGAGAGAAGAGTGCATGTTCGCATTTCTGAACATGTTCCAAAGAACTTGAGGCTGCGAGGGACTAAAGCTCTCAACAGTGCAATAGCCCGGCATTTACTTGACACGGGGCATACCATCGACATTCCGCACGCTTTTAAAATTATCAACAGACAAAGAAGTACAACTACTCTCCGTTTCGCTGAAACAATCGTGATAAAAACTCAAGCCGGATTTATATATTCAATACGAGACATTAATAAACTTATTATTACCCTGGTAGTCCAGTTTTTTTTGTTATTTGGGTTATTTTATTCATTTATTTATTTTAAAATATTTGTTTTGTATTATATTCCTCCCCCATTACCTAATTCTTAAACCAACCTTTCATTCACACATTTCCGCCAACTGATCCTTTTAAATTATGTTAACTTTTCAAATTCTATTTAATTATTACGTAACCTATCTTATCACTGTTTTAATTCCATGAATCCTTCATTTCCTCTAAAATTATCACACAATTTATGAACTCCACTCAACTATTACACCACCCATCCTGAATTATATATATATATATATATATATATATATATATATATATATAGTTATTATTGTAAACCTTTGTCATTCCGGTTGTTTACATTCATTTATGTCAATTGTTTCATACTATTTCTTATCTCAATGTAAAATTCTATTATATATTTGGTTGTAAGCAGCTGACGAGAAACCTCGAAATATTATGAATTCATACTATTCTGCATCAATATTTGTTCTTGCTCTATTTAAAAAGGAAATTCGTTAACTCAACATACCGAGATACTAGATACCGGGATGCTTAAATGAAATCTCCACGGTTGCTAGAATGTTTTCCTGTTTGACCATCAATGATGAAATGGTACGGAATTACACTAGAAATTACGGAATTGATATATGATAGATGAAGAATTTTTATAGCAGCTAAACTTGTAGAAATCTTTCTCAATTGAATATGGGTTGCAGATACTGAATACTGAAAAATATTTGAAAAGCACACATAATTACAATTCGATTGTATGTTAAAGAGAGACCTGGTGCAATACTGCGTAATTGGTGTTGCGAATCTCGTACTGTTACAAAATTTACAGTATAAAATAAACCAAATAATTGGGATGACATGCTTTAATTCAATGTTAAACATTTTTTCTTAATATTATGGTGTATATTACTTATGCGGACAGACACAAATAATATATAGCAGGAATTGGAAGTAGAATGGTTACCACCAAAAAATGAAGTAAAGAGTAGGGGAAGGAAAACGAAGAGCGGTCAGAATAACAACAGGACCGGAAGAATGATGAAGTATGTAAAGGATAACTGAAGGATGATATACATATGATATAGTTGATGTATGATTTTCATATGTTACAAACACATCAAACAGTAAATTGGTTTTCTCTATCATATCTTCATTGATTACAATGTCAGTTGTTCTATTTTTAATCCAGCGTTATGTTTGCTCAACATACTATTCTTTTGTGCTAATTCCTTATGATATTTGTTCAATATGACATTCATAGTTAGTTTGTATTATTTCAGTGTGATATTTGTTTATGATATTAATGATCATTTGTGTAATTCCAATGTAAAATCCGTTTGTATTACCACTATTTCAACTATATATGATATCCGTCGGCTAATCATTGAATGCGAGTAAAATTCGTACATAAATGAATGTATTTGGTTTAATAAGTTGTCGTCATGTTTTGGGAGGTGAATAAGACCTGTATCTGCTATTAATTTTATCTTCTTCTTTGCTTTCACAGATTTCAATTCTTTCTGTTTCTATTCTATCATGTACATTTACAACCTCGATTAAATTCATGTTATCTCATAGATTTTATGCATTCAAAATACTAATGAATTTGTATATGCGTATATTGATTCAGTTTTTCTTAATCAAAGAAATTAGTGATTATATAAGAATTTTACTTATTTATTTCAGATGTTATGTCAATTCTTCTTTTATCAATTACATCAAGACGAAAATAATAATGACAGTAATAATCAGGATCAAAGGAATTTATTAGATACAAACCCCAGTCAAACTGAAACAGTTTAAGATTATTCTTTTTCACTATATAATTGTAAAATGTTATTTCCAATGTTTGTTCATTTTTGCTACAGTTTCAAGTATTTTAGTCCATAGTTTCGCATTCTTCCTGTAACTTGTTAAATATATATATTAATTGAGATCATCAATCTCCACAACCCTATACACTGATAAATACATATTTACTAAATAAGAGAAATTTAGCCACTTTGTTTGTTTGTTCGTCTGTTATTTCCTTATATTCACTTTTATTTGTTTGTACAGAATAGTTTGTATTTGATTATCCTACTGGTTTCGTTTTATTTGTTCTTCTCTTTACATTTGATTTCAACTTCGTATTATTTCGATAAATAACTTTGTTACTATTTTTTATTATCATGATTTTAATAATTTTAAAATGTTGACTTATCCATATATGTATTGAATATAAGATACATGTAATTACTTTTCTTTCTGTTTATATATGTGTGCAAGCGCTTGGTGATGTTACTGATGAATATTTGTTATTTAATTATCATTTAACGGGATGATTTGTTTCTATAGTTATAGAGTGAATTAGTATTGTAAATTTGTCATACTTGTTATGAAACCTGGAGACCGTAAATGTAATCCCGTTTAGTATCGTTTTGTGGGTTAACAAGAAGTTTTATGCTAGAGTGAAACAACTGTACAGTAATCCATGTTTTCCAATCAGTCAGTCATTCATCTACAACGTAGAATCAGGCACATGTGTATCGGTCCAAGTTGCTTTACCTCATTAGCACAACAAGATGAACACCGGATCCATAGAAGTAGTGGTGGCAATATATAAAAGAAAGATTGCATATAAGGGCGTAGTACAGGAAAAAAGAATTAGTTCGTAGAAAGAAAGATATGCAGCAATTTTAACCTCTTAGTTTAAGGGAAGACAAAGAGTGTATACACCGACGCCATTGTGATAGATTCTAAGCCATGTCACCAAGAATCTCCAACCATTGGTTACGATAGTCATGTGGACCCCAACCAAGTAGTCTGCATCTACCAACACAGCTCAGATTAGAAGTTAATGACTTCAAGGACTGATGCCTTGTTTTGGTTTGGCCGCCCCTAAATTTCCTCCAACCATCCCAAAATCAGTTAGTATTGCGCGTCGTGGTAATCGGTGTTCAGGTATACGCAACACGTAGCCCAACCATCTCAGTCGATGAAGATTCACAACCTCATCAACTGATTTACCATCATTCCCTAATACCCTGCGTCCAACCTCACTATTACTTACCCGGTGATTACACATGTTTTCCAATGGTTTTCCGGATGATGGCACTTTAATTAAAACTTTATTATTTGAAGTATCTTTGCTTTTAAAAATAGTAATCTGAAGATTCCGTTATTTCTGGTAAAAGAAAATATAAATTATTTATGATAGGTTGTTTATGTTTAGGTGTATGTGTGTTCGTTCCACATCACCTTTCCTTTAAATATCATATCTTTATGGCAAACTTATTAGCTTGTTTTTTAATCTATTTGACGTTACCACAGTCCATTTATTACTGGCATCATGTGTAGGGAGATCTACAAAACTCATTGGACAAATATGTTTAGTATCAATCACTTCCCAGGCACTCTCTTATTGTTATTTTTATTATATTTGATGTAGTATCTAATTCACGTGTTTAATAACCGAAATGTAAGTAATTAATGCAAAAATCCTGTTTAGTGAAATAAAAGGATTTATTGGAGCTGTTTATTTCTTAACTTGGTTGATAGAGCATTGATTTCTCTTCATGTAACGCTTCAGGATATAAATGAGTATTACAAGAAAGCCATGCATTATATATATGGTAGCTACCAGTCTATCCAATTACATATTTATCACCTGTCTTACAATAATACTCATTTAATAACAGCAAGCTGTGAAATTAGCAATCGTACTTCTGTTTCATTTCAGACAGTTTATTTATATAGTAAGATCAAATCATTTAACTTAACTGATTTCTCATAAGACTTTTATTCACGCATCGAATATTTTAGGTTACTATGTATAATAATCACAGTCAGCTGAGTGTTACAAAGTCTAATCTACGTTTTTAAATTTCTGATTTATCCTGGTCTATAAATCTTGTTATACTACGGATTAACATTAAAGACTGTTTGGAGAAATATTACTTAATGTTTGTAAACCAGTATTGTAAATATATCTGAAAGACGTATTTTGGCTTTCTGAATACAAATTTGCATTGTTAGTAAAATAGGGATAACATGTGGTCGGTAAAGTAGATTACAAGATTTTACCACAAGTATTACACTTTCTTATTTCAGTGGCGTATTTACCATTCATTACTTGATCTTTTTCTGGCACAACCGATTAAATCAGTCCGAATTCTAGTTCCTCAATAATCAATAGAATTCATATTCAATGTGTATTTATTGAAATGTGCATGTGATGCATAATGTGTATTTAATACAGATCACTTCATTTGTGTATATGATTTACTAAATCTGTCTTGTATATTTGATTAATAAAAAGAAGTATTCCTATATTTATTTAATTAACGAAATATTGAATGAATACTTGTCATACATCTCGGATTTGGCAATAGTGCAATGTCGTACTTTGTTTGATCATATTAATCGGTTCGATCTGATGGATAGTGATAATGAGTAGTTGCAAATATTCGGCAGAAATTTTCGAATTTAGGTTCTTTATCTAATGGTACTCATATACAACTTCGAGAACCCTATCAGTGTTTATGAAATTCTCACATGTATCACTTACCGTAGTCGTAATAATTTTTACAACTAAGTCATGTAAATGATGAATGATCTGTGGCATGAATTTTCTTAGTATACCAATCAATCATCTAACATTGACCAATATCGCACACATGTTTTCAATGTTGTCCGAAGTTTATCAGTCACTTAACACTTGTTAACTTCTTGCAACCTATAATGACATACGTATTCATAATGACTTTTCATCTGAGCGTAGCTTTCAATTGCAATCGACCTACATTTAAAAAAGTATTTTGATATTTTTTATTTGTGTAATTGATCATTGATATAACTGATCTTGACACAATATATTTGGAACCTAAATTTGTGTGTTTTATTGTTCACTTGCATTTGTTTGTTCATTTTTAAAAATTCTCATCTGCATATGTAACTTTCAGCCTTTGATAGGTTTGAGTACAGTTTTGAGGTATATTGTATCCTACAGGGGAGTGTGCAGTGCAACGTATATGAGAGAATTTAAAAGAGAGAAGAACAAGAGAATAAAAGTCAGTGGACTACTCAGTAAGCACACAAAATGCACTTAAATTCAATAAGAATGTCAATCAATGACAATAAACAATGACACAAACGGGAAATTAGACAATCTGATAATCTATCCTAGAATTTGATGGAATAAGGTTTTAAATGCATTACACATATACTTAATATATAAACTAGAATAATGAAAGTGAATATATCCTTCTTTTTTTGCTTATACGATCAATTATTATTTAGGCAGTATTAGACGATCATAGTGCTTGTGAGGTATGGCGTAGTCGTGATCGTTTATATTCTTCATTAGTAGCTATATTTCCAGCTGCATTAATTGGTAAACCAGTTACGGTGACACTGTTAGATGAAACACGTATAACTGGACGTTTATGTTCATGTGATGGATTGATGAATTTACAATTGGATAGTGGTGTTATAATAAGAAAACCAGATTCTGACGGGCTAAACGAGGTTATTCTAGTTGAAGTTAGTTTATTTAATTTGATGTGTTTTATGTTTATTTCTGTCTTTCTTGTTTTGTTATAAAAAATAACTTGTTTGTTTGTTTTTAGAAAGAAAGTACTTTTTGTCAAAAACTAGAAATAAATCTCTATCTTACACGTTTGATTAAGTGATAGTAATATATAGCTAACAACTATTTAGTATGTCTAATGATCCCTACAGAGTATTTAAAAACAAGGGGTATTTGAGCGAAGAATTATTTCCAATAACTTCGTCATAGTACTCTACAGCCATAATTCCGTAATTGTTGTATTCCAGTCGCCAAAATAAGCCGTACATAAATAAGTGGATTAGATAACACTATCTTTTATTTATTCGTAAGTGTTTGAATATTCCCTCTGTTGATATCAAGGATGTATTATTGATCGGTCTCTTATTGGTGCATGTGCATCCAGAGCAGGTTGCCTCGATATTCCCAGTAAGTTACTGATATTTTAGTAAAGGGCAGTTGGGGGTGGCAACAAGATCTATGATGTGCATTTTGTCCTGTTCAGGACTCGTCGGCTGAATGTACCTGGACTCAGTATCTCAGGTTTTAGGAATTTAAAGCGAAAGGTTCTGGGTTGGAGTCCCAGTGTTAAACGTCAACACTAGGATGCTGGTGAATCCTGCTGATGATTCTCAAATAAGACTAAATGTCCATCCTGGATTCCATTGCTAGCCTTTATTCATTTCTACTTAAACAATGTTGTATGTTAAAATAGTGAACTTTGCACCAGTTGTGCCTTAAATACTTTCAAATCGTCATTCGTTAATTTGAAGAATCACTCAAGAAAGGAGTAGGAAAATTTATTGTAAGGTGTCGAATTAAAATCATAATAAAATAATAAATCGTGTGGTTAAAATGCACAATAAGAAAAATGTTATGTTAACTGAATTGAGATAATTATAATAAAATCGTGTCAATTTATGTAAGTATAAATTGTGTGTTAATACTCAATTCTTTTACATAAAATTAGAGCTGATATAGTTTGCTGATGAAACTTTCACTGTCAATTATTACTATTGAGACAACTTCAGGGGATGTGTTTAAATTTATTTATGGATTTCGTCATGTTAAATAGTATCAAAGTGGCATTAAATATGTATTCATTTTTTTATAGTGACATTGTTATACAACACTACGTAAACAGCAATGTAGTTGTTGTTCATTACTTTGTAATCAGTTTTCAAGTATTGAGTCACATGTTACAGACTAAATTCGCTTATCAGAGTTTTGGTTGTTAGGTACCACTAAACATTGTGCACCAGTTTGATCCAAGAATTCCAACCATATCACCATTACTGCAGTATTTAGTTACCAGAGAAATCTGAAACCCATTTTATTACCAGATGATGAAGTCATAGTCACACTAATATGGTATATGAATTATCCTTTCTGACTTAATTTATCGTATATTCATATCACTAAAAGTATTAAATAGAATATAAAATTGAACTTAATCACACTCTGTTGAAAAGTTTTTCACTACTGGTTTATTTCGAAGGATCGGACAAATATCTCGTTTTATTATTTTATCCTGACGTCAGAACTTAATACTTTACTGTGATATAGTATATTTCGATACTAAACTGGCTGTAAATCATTTACTGATGGATTTATGTACTAGACATTGAGTCGCATTGTTTGCTTTATGACTAATGCCACCTATTCAACAGCTCAAACTGAAGTTGATAGAGAGGTTTTCGAACTTGTAACATACTGGGTAAAAGCCGACTGTTCTAACCCATAAACTAGCGCTCTATACTACACTTAATGAATGGTTAATCACAACTGATTAGAAATACTAAATTTAGCAAGTTATTTTCATTACAAACTAGCATCAGTTGTAGAATCTTTGAAGGCTGAGGAGTATATTGTATAGCTAAACTTACCAATCTAAAACACGAGACTTGATTTTTATGTGAATTTGTGTGCTTACGCCCTATTGATGGGTTCCAGACTAGAATGAAGTAGTCGTCCAATACTCCTTGCTTTCCTAAAACTGACATCATTTCGTGCTAAAAAGATTTTCCACCATAACGCACAAAAATCCCTATTAAACGATTCAATCTTATAGAAATGTTAACCAGTAAATAAAGTTGAGATCTTAATCTCATACCTATCGAAATCATGATTCTGGAAAGTGATATATCATAATTTCTGTATATTAACGAATTATTTCTACAGTTAATAGTGTTTCATGATGCACTGTACATTGTTCTTTATTTTAAGTCAATCAGCCAGTTTAATCTTATTATTTATTAGTTTACAAACGAATTGAAGGATTAATAGTAGTGTTTGAATGAACTAATGATACATTTGTACTTGTTGAATGCTTGATTTCGAATTATAAATACAGTACATTAGTTTGTGGTTATCTAGTACTTCTTGATCCGATTACGTTATTTCTGGGATTCTTAGTTCATACTATAATTCAAATACTTCTAATTATCATATTGGCGTCGCGATGGAGCCTGCGATGGAACAGTTAGATATTCATTCAACTTCTGAAGCTTTTGAGGATTATTTGGAAAGGTTTGAAATCTGGAGCATGACCATGAAAGATGTTAAAGGTGATAAAATTGTGGCACATTTCCTAACATTCATCGGAAGAGAAGCGTACAGCTTATTAAAAACTTTGGCATATCCAGAAAAACCTATCTCACTTCCTCATGCAACTCTTAAGGAGCTATTATTAAATCATGTAAAGTGCACTAGTTTTGAATGCCGTGAAAGGGCAAAATTTCATAAGATGGTTCGTCGAAATGAACAAAAGGTTAGGGAATTCGTCCTTGAATTGCAGAAATAAGCTTCCAAATGTAATTTTGGTGATCAACTTCATGTGCAACTGAAAGATCGATTAATTTCAGGAATTAACATACCGGGTTTGGAAAGAGAGCTGTTAAGAATGCCGAACTGTTCCTTTCAAGATGCTAGGACTGCGTGTATTAACTACGAGGCAATAAATGAATTTTATATCCAGTCGATGAAGATTTCTAATACTTTGCTTAGTCGTCATAATGAAATACAATCTCAGGATCAATCAAACTTGCGCTCGTTTAACAGTGATTCCTATTCTCGTGTAAATATGAAAGGTGTTTCAACAAGGAATCACAAAGGTGAGATCAAGCTTGGTAAATGTTTATCATGTGGAAAGTTTCATTCTCGTAATTCGTGTGCATTTCGTAAAGCTAAATGTTTTAAATGTGGTAAGATAGGACACATTCAGTCAGTATGCAAAGCTACTTTCCATTTTGCTTCAAGTAGTACTAAATCTTGTAATTTAGATCCCACTAATTCAGCTGTTCCTAATGATCATTTATCTTTGTCTACCATTTCGAAAGGTAATGCTCATATTCAAAAGCGATTATATACATCACTTGGTTCATTTCATGACTTTATTGTGGACACATGCAGTATAGATTCCATTATTCCATTCAAGAACTTGAAATCTTTAGATCCTAACGTTGTAGTACGACCCACTGAAGTATCAATATTGGGGATTACTGGACACAGACTGCCCATACAAGGATGTTGTGAATCGCTAATAGGAGATGATAATTCTTCATATATGCCTTGTGAATTTTTAGTTAGCGAAACAGGACTGTCAATACTGGGTTTAAAGAATTTGAAAAGGCGTTTTTTGAGAAATTTCATACACATAGTTCCCTTTATCATTTTGAAAAGAGCAAGAACAAAGATTTTAGCAGAATAGCATGAATTCATTTTAGCAGAATAGCATGAACCTACGAAATAAAATGAATTCATGCTATTCTGCTAAAATCTTTGTTCTTGCTCTTTTCAATTTGAAAAGGCTTAAAGTGGAGTTGCCTTTCCTAGTTTCTAAAGAAAACTCTGATGCTTTACTTAAAGATTTGATAGCTACGTGTGCTAAGTGCAGTGAAGGTATGAAAATTCAGCCCATAAAACTTCAAGTACAGGGTGATCTAGTCTTTCTTAAAAGATGAATAATTCCTTATGGTCTTCGAGAAGCAGTACATAAGACTTTAAACGATTCGTGTGCGAAAGGCATAATTGAACCGATTCAGTCTTCAGCATCGGATACTCCTATTGTTACGCCACTGAAGTCGGACGGCAAGACCCCTAGAATATGCGGTGACTATAGATTAACATTGAACTCCCGTTTGTTGAAGCAAACGTGCACGACGGTAGAGGCTGAAGATATTCTAAATCGACTTCATGGTTCTAAAGTGTTCTCGAAAGTTGACCTAAAAGATGCTTATCTTCAAATCCCTTTAGATCAATCTTCATCTATTTTGACGACAATTAACACTCCTTTTGGTCTGTTCAAATACAATTTCCTTCCATTTGGTCTAAGTTGTTCTCCAGCCATATTTCAGGAAGTTATGAATAAAGTAGTTAGTGATCTTGAAAGTGTTGAAGTTTATCAAGATGATCTCATTGTTCATGGTTCTGATAAGGTAGTTCATGACGAGAGACGTATTGCTTTATTACGTCGTTTAATTGAGAAGAATATTACAGTGAATCCAAATAAGTGTTCATTTTGTGTATCTAGTTTTGAATGTCTTGGATACCCAGTTGATGGTAATGGTTTTAGACCAGATATGAAACGACTAGCTCCACTGACAAATGCACCGTTTCCAAAAAATCTTACGGAACTACGTTCACTAGTGGGTACTCTTCAATACTATTCCCGTTTTATTCCTAATTTTTCTTGTCGTGCAAATTGTTTATTTAATATTATGACATCCAATTCATTCAAATGGGGTGAGGAACAGGAGTCGTGCTTACGAAGTCTACTTAAGTTTCTTCAAAGTGATGCTGTTATTCGAACTTACTCCCCTAGTGTACATTCTGTGCTTATTACTGATGCATCACCTCTGGGTATGGGCGCAGTTTTAGAGCAGGAAGGTAGACCAGTTATTTGTGTTTCATGCAAACTTACTGTTACTGAACAATGTTATTCACAGACTCAGCGAGAAGCATTAGCTGTGTTTTG